AATCAGTTTTGTTCCATTTTATGACCTTTCTTGCCACAGTGGATCACTGCAGTTGTCAAGGTAGTAACCTGTTTGTCCATTGGATCTGGCTCCCCCGTTGACTTTGCTTGTCAGGAGGTCCCAAAAGGGGATCACACGAACCCAGGACACTGCAACCATCACAGCAACAGCGCTTAAGACTTATACACCGCTTCATAACGCTTTACAGCCCTCTGGTTTACAGAGTCAGCCTATTGCCCCCAACCATCTGGATCCTCCTTTTTACCGACCTCGGAAGGATGAAAGGCTGGTCAGGATCTAACTGCTGGCTGTGGGCAGAGCCACCACGGCTCTTCATAAATATGAGTCTGACACCAGTGAGATTAGCAAAAATGTTTAAAAATACTTCAAACAACTGTGGGAGATGCAAGGTACTTATTATCCTATCTGGTGGACATGCCCTAAAGCAAAAAAGATTTTGGGGTTAAAATACATTTATGGTTGGAGAAAATGACTAAAAAACAAATAAGACTTTAAACCAGAATTATTTTTGTTAGGAATAATAGGTCATCTAGTCAGGCAGGAAACCCTATACTATTTCAGACAAATGGCTGTCCAGTCTCTTCTTAAAAACTTCCAGTGTTGGAGCATTCGCCGTTTCTGGAGGCAGGTTGTTCCACTGGTTAATTGTTCTAACTGTCAGGAAGTTTCTCCTTAGTTCTAGGTTGCTTCTCTCCTTGATTAGTTTCCATCCATTGCTTCTTGTCCTGCCCTCAGGCACTTTGGAGTATAGCTTGTCTCCCTCTTCTTTGTGGCAGCCCCTGAGATACTGGAACACTGCTATCATGTCCCCCTCATCCTTCTCTTCATTAAACTAGACATACCCAATTCCAGCAGCCGATCCTTATATGCTTTAGCCTCCAGTCCCCTAATCATCTTTGTTGATCTTCTCTGCACTCTTTCTAGCGTCTCAACATCTTTTTTACATCGTGGTGACCAAAACTGGATGCAGTATTCCAAGTGTGGCCTTACTAACTAGGAGAAAGATTGCAGATATTTAATACTACACGTGCTAATGGCAGCAAGAATTGTATTTGCCCAACATTGGAAAAATGAAAATTTACCGGCTGAAGAAGCATTAATGAAGAAAATTTTAGAGTGTGCAGAAACAGACAGATTGACTTTAAAGATAAAAGAGAAAGAAGACTCGGTGTGCTTTAGAACATGGGATAATTTCTATCAATGGCTAGAAAGACGGGTTACAGAGAAAGGAATGTGATATGTAACTTTGAATATATATTAGCAAGAAGAAGGCTATTGAGTGACTAATTAACATGTTGATGATAATTAACTATTATTTATTATTGTTTGTTAAACACACGAACCCAGACATTATGCTGTTTGCTAAATATTGAGAATGTTATTTGGAAAAACCTCAACCCCAACCCTAATCCTAACCCAAATCCCAACCCCAGCCCCGACCCCACCTTATTCCTAACCCCATAAAAACTAATATAATCTATACAAATAAATAAATAAATAAATATGAGTCTGAATATGAGCCAGTTGCCAAGCATCTGAATTTTGATCACGTGACTATGGGGATGCTCCAAAAGGCCGTAAGTGTGGGAAATGGCCATAAGACACTTTTTTGGTGTTGTTGTAACTTTGAACGGTCGCTAAAGGACTACCTGTAATTTGGGCAATGAGACATCTGCAAGAAAACAACCTTGCTCAGAAACCACCAAGGACCCCCCCCCGCCCCGATGTTTTCCACTCCTTGACAACTGCCACGTGACCCTCTTTAATCAGCCGCGGACACCCTTGCAGTCAACCCCTTGCCAGAGATATGTGGACTCCTTTACTTGTGTCGTAGCCATGGCTCATTGTGGAGATGAATCGATGGACTCCCACACGCTGAGTAGCCTGGATCACCTTCTCTTGACTTTGGTCTTCCAAGCCGTAGGCGATGTTGGCACGCAAGGATCGGGCAAAGAGTATGGGATTTTGGCTCACCAGCGCCACCTAACAGGAGGGAAAAAGAACAGGGCGTTTCATTATTCCAAGCGGAGTTTGGAAGCAGAAGCTCCCGATTCAGTCCCAATTTCGTTCCATACAGTTATCAACCTTGTGAACTCTCAAGCTCCCTCTTTCCGCTACGTACGCAAGATGGACAAGGATTAATATTTATATGTTATTTATGTGTAAGGGTGTAGGTATATACGTATGTATGTATTCAATTTGTATTTTGCCGACAAAAAGTTAAAGGGAGACTAGTATAGCTATTTCAAGCTATTTAGCTCTCATCAGCTAGCCATATCCTTCTGAGATTCGAACCTGGGCTGCTTGCATATTAGGCAGCTGTATTGACCTCTAGGCCAGTGATGGCGAACCTTTTAGAGACCGAGTGCCCCTACCCAAAGCAAAGCCAAAGGCGGTGAGCCCGGTTTACTTAACGACTGCACGGTTCACTTAGCGACGGTGGCAAAAAGGTCGTAAAATGGGGTGCAGCTTACTGGACTGTCTTGCTTAGTGGCAAAAATGCTGGGCTCAGTCATGGTCGTAAGAATGAGGACCACCTGTCTCAGCCACCTGCCTTTACTAGATGGCATCCCTTACCTTTTGATGCAGGAAGTGATGCTCGTATTCGCTCAGGTTCTCGTCGTCCAGCACCACCTGCCCTTGGTCAGGCTCGTAAAACCTCTGGAGCAAGGCCACCACCGTGCTCTTCCCGGACCCGGAGGGGCCCACCAAGGCAGTCACAGTACCAGGACTCAGCTCTAAAGACACTCCCTGGAAGAAGAGAACACCGGGTATCAATTCTATCCAACTTAAGAGATAATAATAATAATAATAATAAAGTTGGAAGGAACCTTGGAGGTCATCTAGTCCAACCCCCTGCTCAGGCAGGAAGCCCTATGCCATTTCAGACAAAGGGCTGTCCAGTCTCTTCTTAAAAACTTCCAGTGTTGGAGCATTCACCGGTTCTAGAGGCAGGTTGTTCCACTGATCAATTGTTCTTAACGGTCAGGAAGTTTCTCCTTAGTTCTAGGTTGCTTCTCTCCTTGGTTAGTTTCCATCCGTTGCTTCTTGTCCTGCCTTCAGGCGCTTTGGAGAATAGCCTGACTCCCTGTTCTTTGTGGCAGCCCCTAAGATATTGGAACACTGCTATCGTGTTCCCCCTCGTCCTTCTCTTCATTAAACTAGACACACCCAATTCCAGCAACTGTTTCTTGTATGTTTTAGCCTCCAGTCCCCTAATCATCTTTGTTGCTCTTCTCTGCACACTTTCTAGAGTCTCAACATCTTTTTTGACATCGTGGTGACCAAAACTGGATGCAGTATTCCAAGCGTGGCCTTACCAAGGCATTGTAAAGTGGTATTAATACTTCACTTATTCATACTGCAGTTTTGGTTGGGGTTGGCTGGGATGGGATGGGACAGTACTGCAACAAGTTCACAGTACAGCCCCATCGTTGAACAGTTCTCCTCACCTTTGCTGGGCTGCCTATTGGCTTATTTCTTCCTCTGAGCAGAAACTATTAACAAGGAGAGGACTAAGATCTGTCCCTCCTTCCCCTTTGCTTCCTAAGTTAGTCTTCGGCTTTGATATGTATTGCTGGATGCTCTCTCCTTTGGCCAGCACTGACAACGGAGTCAATTGGAGGCTAAAACATATAAGGAATGGGTGCTGGAATTGGGTATGTCTAGTTCAACGTAGAGAAGGACATGATAGCAGTCTTCCAATATCTCAGGGGCTGCCACAAAGAAGAGGGAGTCAAGCTATTTTCCAAGGCGCCTGAAGGCAGGACGAGAAGCAACGGATGGAAACCAATCAAGGAGAGAAGCAACCTAGAACTAAGGAGAAACTTCCTGACAGTTAGAACAATTAGCCAGTGGAACAACCTGCCTCCAGAAGCAGTGAATGCTCCAACACTGGAAGTTTTTAAGAAGAGACTGGACAGCACTTTGTCTGAAATGGTGTAGGGTTTCCTGCCTGAGCAGGGGGTTAGACTAGATGACCTCCAAGGTCCTTTCCAACATTATTATTATTATTATTATTATTATTATTATTATTATTATTATTATTATTATTATTATTATTATTATTATTATTGTTGTTGTTGTTGTTATTGTTGTTGTTGTTGTTGTTGTTGTTGTTATTTGGCTAGAATCTGAACACCAAGATGAGTAAGACTACAAAATGGCCTTGGGCTCCCAGATTGGGCACTGAGCATCTCTGACCGTTGAAACTGAGTTAAAATCCCATTAAGCCAAGTTAGACCTAAGCCTGCCTTGGCTGACCTCAAAAAGCTAATCTAGGTTGGCTCTGGCCAATACCTGGACGGGAGACCACTAGGAAATCCAAGGGCTGTAGACTAGGACTGGAACGTTGACAAAGCATCCCATATGGTTGCCAAGATAGCACTACAAATGCATCTTTAAAATCACCCTGAGTTGTGTTCACCTTTAAGGAAGCTTTTGTTGGAATATAGCATAAGTCACTCCATCTTGTAACCTTCAGCAAGTTTAATCCTATACTAATTGTGCCTACGTGTTAGGTTGCAATCTGCAACTGCATACGCGTAAGGTAGTGAAGGACAGAGAACAAAGGGACATGTCAAGAAAGCTGTTTGTGCAAGTTGTAATATTGTCACTTCCTGATAAGACCTTCCAATGTGAACAACAATGGCAACTTTTACTGTGAACTGTTAGTCGCATATGCCATGTATTAGATAAGATACATTTTGTAAAACTTTCTGTCTCTAACCTCCAAAACTCCCACTGTTGTAACCCTCACCCCCCTGCTGCAAAAGCCTTCTGCCTGCAATTTGCTTTGTTATGATTGCTAATAAAAGAGGTCCCCAGAGACTGTTCTGGGCTGATCTCATCCCGAGGAAACCTGGTGTGGTGTCTTCATATCACAACTCATGAATCGGCCCCCGGGCGAGGTCTGAAACCAAGCCGGGAGACTCAGGTCCCGGTTTCCCACAAGCTTTATTTTATTTTTTTTACAGACCCTACAGATTTCCATACAGGTTTCACCGACTCTCCTGGAGAGAAATAATTGGAGTTTCGCCTCCTGACCTCAGCTACATTTTGATTTTCTCCGGCTGCATTCACACATCCTTGACCGAGTCAATGTATGACCCACAAGATGAAAACCTCGGTTACCTTTAAACTTGGCTTAGTTAAGTTGCGTGAATTCAACCCATTTGACTGGTTTGTAATTTCATCTTGGCCTCCAGAAGTTGTGGGTGCTCCATCGCTGGTTTTTAAGAAGAGACTGGACAGCCATTAGTTTGAAATGGTCTAGGGCAAGAAGTAGGCAACCATGGCTCTTTTATGACTCGTGGACTTCAACTCCCAGAATTCCTGAGCCAGCCAACATGGCTGGCTCAGGAATTCTGGGAGTTGAAGTCCACGAGTCATAAAAGAGCCAAGGTCGTCTACCCCTGGTGTAGGGTCTCCTGCTTGAGCAGGGGGTTGGACTACAAGACCTCCATGGTCTGTTCCAGTTCTGTTATTCTGTTATGAATTGGCCTAACTCAGATTATCAGGGTTATTCAGTAACAGAGTTAAGTGATCACAGGATGGTAGGGACTTGGTCATAGGCAGTTCTCCTCATATCCATTCTTGGTCCCACACCCAAGGTATGGCGATTCCCTTCTCAGAATCCAGTCCCCATCACCAACCTTCAGGACTGGAGAGTTGCCGTTGCTGGGATAGGAGAACCAAACATTTTCAAGCTTCATGTATCCTTTTAAATTTGCGGGTGCCAGCGTTCCCGAGGGCTTGATTTGGGGTGTCCGGTCCATATACTGAAAAGCCTTTTCTGATGAACCTACGGCTTTTTGCACAGAGGGATAAGACCTAACGAGGACCTAGGAGAGACAGGAAACAGGCGTCGTGAGGGACACATTTTGAGGAAGGGTCTTCGCACCTTTCTGGGCTTCCAGGCATGAGGCCGAATTTCTTCCCCCGGTGCTGGGCCAGTCACAAAACTTACCTGCATCACTGTGGACAGCTCACTCTCCTGCAGGACAAAGGTAACAAGAGCTCCACCACTCAACTTCCCTTGAGTGACCAGGTGTCCCCCATAATAGAGAATCCCCACTTTGAGGATCAGTTGTAAGATCTGGAGGAGAGAAAAAAAGGGGGGGATTAGCATGAAACTCCTCGGTGCTCTCTGAGCTGGGCTGTTTCCTTGCAGACGTTTCATTACCCATCTAGGTGACGTCATCAGTACTGGAAGGGAGTGGGGTGTGCAGAGAGGAGAGGGAGGAGGTGGTGGTGGAGGAGGTAGTGGAGGAGGAGGAGGACTGTGGGGTCCTTGGTGCTCTCTGAGGTGGGTTGTTTCCTTGCAGACATTTCATTACCCAACTAGGTGACATCATCAGTACTGGAAGGGAGTGGGGTGTGCAGAGAGGAGAGGGAGGTGGTGGAAGAGATAGTGGAGAAGGAGGACTATGGGGTCCTTGGCGCTCTCTGAGCTGGGTTGTTTCCTTGCAGACGTTTCATTACCCATCTAGGTGACGTCATCAGTACTAGAAGGGAGTGGGGTGTGCAGAGAGGAGAGGGAGGTGATGGAGGAGGTAGTGGAGGAGGAGGAGGACTGTGGGGTCCTTGGTGCTCTCTGAGCTGGGTTATTTTCCTGCAGACGTTTCATTACCCAACTAGGTGACGTCATCAGTACTGGAAGGGAGTCGGGTGTGCAGAGAGGAGAGGGAGGATGAAGTGATGGAGGAGGCAGTGGAGAAGGAGGAGGACTGTGGGGTCCTTGGTGCTCTCTGAGCTGGGTTGTTTTCTTGAAGACGTTTCATTACCCAGCTAGGTGACGTCATCAGTACTGGAAGGGAGTGGGGTGTGCAGAGAGGAGAGGGAGGTAGTGGAGGAGGAGGAGGACTGTGGGGTCCTTGGTGCTCTCTGAGCTGGGTTGTTTTCTTGAAGACATTTCATTACCCAGCTAGGTGACGTCATCAGTACTGGAAGGGAGTGGGGTGTGCAGAGAGGAGAGGGAGGTGGTGGTGGTGGTGGAGGAGGTAGTGGAGGAGGACTGTGGGGTCCTTGGTGCTCTCTGAGCTGGGTTGTTTTCTTCCTGGCAACTAACAAGCTCCAGACATCTTCTTTGCCATTGCCTGTGTCTTCTTAGTGCTGAGAGAGAGGGATTGGCCCAACTGGGGCTTCAGGCAGGACTAACACTCACACTCTCCTAATTTTTCTACCCCGGTATCTTAATCCCCTACACCAGAGGTCTCCAACCTTGGCACCTTTAAGACTTGTGGACTTCAACTCCCAGAATTCCTCAGCCAGCCATGTTGGCTGAGGAATTCTGGGTGTTAAAAGCCCACAAGTCTTAAAGCTACCAAGTTTGGGGACCCCTGCCCTACATCAGAGACAGTGCCAGAGATTTTAGCATAGCCCGGCAGGTTTAAGAGAGAAAGTAAGTGCCTTAACTAAATCCTCACTGCTATGTCCGGTCAGTGTGGTAAAACAAATCAAGATGGCAGAAGGAACCACTTTTGACGTTTTTGAACAAATGCTGCAGACACTCCGGTCCCAAAAACGGGATTGGCCTACCCCACCCAGGCCAGCAGAGGAAGCATGATGCGGGCCTCATCGGCCAGGGAACTCTAGATGGCCAAGAGAAGGCGCGTTCCTTTTGGAATATCTTTCCCCCACCCCCAAGAGTGAAATGGGCAGCTGGTAAATTAGAGAGAGAGAGAAAGAGAAAGAGAAAGAGAGAGAGAGAGAGAGAGAGAGAGAGAGAGAGAGAGAGAGAGAGAGAGAGAGAGAGAGAGAGAGAGAGAGAGAGAGAGAGAGAGAGAGAGAGAGATGATAGAGATAGATGATAGAGATAGATAAGATAGATGATAGATAGATAATAGATGATATAGATAGATGCTAGACAGATGACAGATAGATATAGATAGATCAGATAGATAGATAGATAGATAGATAGATAGATAGATAGATAGATAGATAGATAGATAGATAGATAGATAGATAGATAGATAGATAGATAGATAGATAGATAGATATAGGTAGATAAATAATAGATAGATATAGATAGATATAGAGATAGATAGACAGCCATTTGTCCAAAATAGTATAGGGTTTCCTGCCTGAGCAGGGGGTTGGACTAGATGACCTCCAAGGTCCCTTCCAACTTTATTATTATTATTATTAGATAGATAGATATATGTTGATAGATGATAGATATAGATAGATATAGATGATAGAGAGAGAGAGAGAGAGAGAGAGATAGATAGATAGATAGATAGATAGATAGATAGATAGATAGATAGATAGATAGATAGATAGATAGATAGATAGATAGATAAATAGATAGATAAATGGATGGTAGATCTAAATCTGAATCTGAATCTAAATCTATCCAAAATAGTCAGCCCCACTTGCTCTGGAGGCACAAAGCTCCATGGGTCACACAAAATTTGGCATCATCCTTGTGCAGCCCGCATCACCTCGCCCTCCAAGGAGCCCCAAGCGTTGCTCCCAGCCTCTCCCGCCCAGGTCTGCATCTTTACCTCAGGAACCCCTAGGGAGGCACCGTAGGCCACGGCCTCCTTCTTGTTGAGCTGGTAGGTCTCTTCCAACTTCTTTTCGTAGCACTGAGCCGCCCCGTCCTCGTTGGCAAAGCTGCGGACGGTGGAGATGGCCTGGAAGGTCTCCATTGCGACCTCGTTAGCCTTGGCTAAGGACTCCTGGACCTGCGTGGCCAAACTCTGGAAGGAGAGAGAGAGGAAAGAGAAAGAGGAAAGATAACGAAGCATATCCAAAATGGATTAGGTCAGTGATGGCGAACCTTTTAGAGACCGAGTGCCCAAAAACTGGCCCCACCCCTGCTCCACCCCCGCTCCGCCCCACCCTGCCTGCCCACAGGGCCACTCACGGCCTCCAGGGCCCGCCACAGATCACCCAGGCAGCCCAACAGTGCCATGGCAGCCACACCCTCTGCCCACACCCCGCAGCATCAACTGTGCGCGTTGGGGCATGAGGGCAGAGTCTTGTCTACGCTGCCAGGCTGCCATGTGCTTGGCTGCGCTGCTCCGCGTGGGCCATGCTCAGGGGCAACTCTCCTCCAGGGAGGCTGCTGGTGAGGAGGGGGTCGTGGGCGGAGGCAAGGCTGGGGCAACGGCACGTGTGCCGACACATAAGGCTCCGAGTGCCGCCTGTGGCACGCGTGACATAGGTTCGTCACCACAGGATTAGGCTAAAGATGTTCGATCTGAACCCCCAAATTTTGTAATCAACTCTATTGCCCGTGTACAACTTTTTACAGGGAGGCAACTTTGGAAGTGAGCCAAGGGGAAAATTAATGAAACCATCCCAAAGATGTTTTTTTCCAGAGGCAACAGGACTTTCTTGTTTTTCTTTGAAGACGTTTCGCTTCTCATCCAAGAAGCTTCTTCAGTTCTGACTGGATGGTGGGGAATGGAAGGATTTATACTCCTTGCAGACAGCCGGTCATTTGCCTTCTTTTAGCGAGTCGTTAAAATTACCTGGAGGCTTCTCTGCGTCTCCAGGGTCACCTGAGTAGTGCAAATGGGAGTGGAACCTTCTTGGAACTGTTGAAAAGACTGTGTTGTAGACTAAACATAACTGATGTTGTATATCTCCCGCTCTGTTGAGAGAGAGCTGTTCAATTTTGACATAAATGGCCTCTTTGACTCATCAAAGAGGCTATCTATGTCAAAACTGAACTGCCCTCTGTCAACAGAGGGGGAGGCATCCGACATCATCTATCTCCAGTCTACAATATGGTCCTTTCAACAGTTCCAAGAAGGCTCCACAAAGCAATTTTAAAAATAACCCTTTTAAATAGGGATCTTTCCCCACTTCGGCACCCACCAGATGCATTAGGGCTTTCATCCCCAGGAAAGGATGGTAGAAATAAGCAGTATTTCTAAACACTTGTTTGAATATGGTTAAAAGAATAGTTAAATTTTGGATATGAATGAGTTCCATAGTAAGAGAGATAGGATTTACAAGTAGTATAGTATTTTTTTATGATATGGGAAATGTAAAAATATTGGGATGATTTTAAGTGAATGAAATGTTTTGGATATTTAAATGTAATCAGTTCTGAGAAAACTACAACCGATAAGAAATGTTTTGAATACCGAGGGGAAATTAAGCTTAAATTCTGAAAACAGGACCTGTAGTGATTTACACAAGATGGTTTTTTTTTTGCAAATGCAACTGTAACATAAGTTGATTAGAAAAGATGCTACATATTGATGTTATCGTCATTCTCATAAATACTAGAAAAATGTTTATATTCAATTTTGTATGTGTTAAAAGTACTGAGAACTATATTGGCTCAAGGCTGGTAAAACAAAGATGATTAGGGGACTGGAGGCTAAAGCATATAAGGAATGGTTACTGGAATTGGGTATGTCTAGTTTAATGAAC